CGCGAGCGCGTTGCCGATCACGGGGTACATGGGCGGCCCGGGCAGCTTGTCCGTCATCCGGCGGATGCGCCTGATCTCGGACACGGCGCGGGACAAGCGGGCCAGTGGGGCGGCCAGCGCCAGCGCGAGTCCGGCGGCCGCCAGCAGCAAGAGGAGGACGACGGCGATCATCTCCTGGGGGAGTGAGCAGCAACACTGAAGTGGGCGCGGACTAGAGCTCTGACTTTCGGCGCTTGCCACCTGCCCGAGTGAACGTGGTGGGGGGAGGTTCGATGAGTTGCCTACATTCGAGGTGGCACAGTCGGTACTCTACTCTCCGCCGCTCTCTATCCCTCGGTAAAGGAGGGATCGGCCTGTCGAACATGTTAAATCCGAAAATAAATGGTCATGACGTCAAATTAATTTAATAACTGCGACGGGAACCCTTTTAACTGTTAATCGCGGGAGAGGCAGGCGCCTGTCGTTTTCCAGAGCGTAGCAGTAAGTCCGAGCTCTAGTGGGGGTAAGTTTTTGCACGACGAAGTTCTCGGTCAGTTTTAGTTGTGTAACTGTTGTTCCCCGCCCTGTTGCAGGCCGCTCGCTGGCCGCCGTGCTGCTGGCGCTGGCCGCCCTGGCGCTGCTGGCCGCCGTGGAGGCCGACGGCGTGGACGGTGTGGCGCCGCCCGAGGTGACCGTCGCCACCGGCCGCCTCTCTGGGAAGTGGATGTCGACGAGGGACGGTAGGGCCATCGCGGCCTTCGAAGGGGTGCCCTACGCCGTACCGCCCCTCGGAGAGCTGCGCTTCAAGGTAAACGACGGGGGTGAGAGGTCGCGTGGGGGCGTGACTTTACTGACAGTCGCGTGACGTGTGGTGTGTTCCGTTGCAGCGGGCTCGCCCGGCGGAGGCCTGGGAGGGCGTCAGGCAGGCCGTGCGGCCCGGCTCCATGTGCGTGCAGAGGAACCTGTACTTCCGCGAGGAGGGCATCGTGGGCTCCGAGGACTGCCTGTACCTCAACGTGTACTCGCCTAAGGTACGTTGCGTGCTCTCGCTCTGGGTGGGATCAAGTAACGCCTCACCCTTCCCCTTCCACGGACACCCACCTCACCTCTGTTGCAGGTGGAGCACGCCGATCCGCTGCCTGTCCTGTTCTGGATCCACGGCGGCGGCTGGCTCTCCGGCGCCGGCGACGTATACGGCCCCGAGTACCTGCTGGACCAGGACGTGGTGCTGGTCACGTTCAACTACCGCCTGGGCCCGCTCGGGCTGCTCAGCACGGGCGACCGCACCGTGCCGGGCAACAACGCGCTCAAGGACATGGTGCTGGCGCTGCGCTGGGTGCGCGACAACGTGGCGGCGTTCGGCGGCGACCCGGCCAGCGTGACCGTGTTCGGCGAGAGCGCCGGCGGCGCCAGCACGCACCT